TCATTGAAATAACTGCTGGTGGTGATCCTGCCATGGAGGTCCTTGTTGAGGCACTTCCTGTTAACACTCTGTCCGAGTTTCCTGATTGTGTCAACCTTTCACATGGGATTCCACTGGAGCCTACGTGTGGCTGTTTCAGCATACATGACACAGACATGGCCCACTGTTGTTACCAGGGAAAACTTGGGCACTGCCCAAGGGCCCCGGGGTCAGTAGGGGGCCCCATGAGATGCCCTGGTTTGCCTCTTTTCATAGGCTTTTTTTTGAGTTTGGGCAAGGACACAGGGGCCCCATGATCCCCTATTGCCCTGGGGACCCCATGAGTTGTCAGTACGCCCCTGGTTTGTCCATCAGGAACCCCCCCCCCTCCAAAAAAAAAAAACCTAATCAGACTCTATAGTCCAATAGTCTGCTTTGGGGGGACCTCCAAAAATTCCCAAGATGGGGCAGCAGAGGAAGCCCCTCTCCACAAACTACAACATTCTCTCCAAAAAACACTAAAAAATGGTGGTATAGGAATTTTTTGGTTCGTTTTGGGAAGCACAGTGGCTAAGTGGTTGGTCCTAGCACTTCCGCCTGGCAGTACTCGGGTCGTTGGTTTCGAATCCCAACCACGGCACCACCTTGCCTGAAGTTTTCATGTTTCTCCCTGTGCCTGTGTGGGTTTCCTCTGAAGTATAGTCTCCGGGTTTCCTCCCACACTCCAACCATGCTGGTAGGTTAATTTTTTGATCCTGTCTAAAAGGGGCCCTGAGTATATAAATGATGTTAGGGACCTTAGATTGTACACCCCTTGAGGGTTAAAATTGTACGGAACTCCTCGGGGGCGGGGACTGATGTGAATGTACAATATATTGTAAAATGGCGCAGCAGTGTAAATTGATGGCCCTGTATAAGTACCTGAAATAAATAACTAAAATAAAATAATAGGAATGTATTTAATTGAATAAAGGGTCGACTATTGTTTTTATCGATCCAGTGCCAATATTAGATGAATCTATTTCATTTTTTTTCTCTAATAGTTTATTATTTATTTATTGGTAACTAGGGGGGCAGAGGTGAGACAATTTTGTAGTGTTTTTTGAGAATACCATCCGGAAACCTGCCCTGAGAAATGCCATACAGCCATCACTGGAGTGTATGTTGGTAGGAAGTGTTTGCAAAGAGGCTGCAGGAGATCAGCAGCTATGAGATGTAAAACAAAGGATAAAAAAAAAGGTAAAAATATTTAATAAAAACACATATGATACAAGGTCTGTGTTGCGTGTTAGAGCCTACCCTTTTGCTGCCACACATACACTATATTCTCCCCAAGTATTGGGCCTTCGCACGCACATTGACCTTTAATGGCCCCCCCAGTCTTAGTCCGTAGGTTCAATATTGAGTTGGCCCCGCCTTTTCCACACACATGACCTTTAATGGCCCCCCAGTCTTAGTCCGTAGGGTTCAATATTGAGTTGGCCCCGCCCTTTCCACACACACATGACCTTTTAATGGCCCCAGTCTTTAGTCCGTAGTGGTTCAATATGAGTTGGCCCCGCCCTTTCCACACACATGACCTTTTAATGGCCCCGCAGTCTCAGTCCGTAGGGTTCAATATTGAGTTGGCCCCGCCCTTTCCACGCACATGACCTTTAATGGTCCCCCAGTCTTAGTCCGTAGGGTTCAATATTGAGTTGGCCCCCGCCCTTTCCACACACATGACCTTTAATGGCCCCCCAGTCTTAGTCCGTAGGTTTCAATATTGAGTTGGCCCCACCCTTTCCACACACATGTCCTTTAATGGCCCCCCCAGTCTTAGTCCGTAGGGTTCAATATTGAGTTGGCCCCGCCCTTTCCACACACATGACCTTTAATGGCCCCCCAGTCTTAGTCCGTAGGGTTCAATATTGAGTTGGCCCCGCCCTTTCCAAACACATGTCCTTTAATGGCCCCCCAGTCTTAGTCCGTAGGTGGATTCAATATTGAGTTGGCCCCGCCCTTTCCACTCACATGACCATTAATGGCCCCCCAGTATCTAGTTCGTAGGGTTCAATATTGGGCGGCCCCCACCGCCTTTCCACACACAATTGACCTTTAATGGCCCCCCAGTCTTAGTCCGTAGGGTTCAATATTGAGTTGGCCCCGCCCTTTCCACGCACATGACTTTAATGGCCCCCCAGTCTTAGTCCGTAGGGTTCAATATTGAGTTGGCCCCGCCCTATTCCACGCACATGACCATTAATGGCCCCCCCTGTCTTAGTCCGTAGGGTTCAATAATGAGTTGGCCCCGCCCTTTCCACACACATGACCTGTAATGGCCCCCCAGTCTTAGTCCGTAGGGTTCAATATTGAGTTGGCCCCGCCCTTTCCACACACATGACCTGTAATGGCCCCCCAGTCTTAGTCCGTAGGGTTCAATATTGAGTTGGCCCCGCCCTTTCCACACACATGACCTTTAATGGCCCCCCAGTCTTAGTCCGTAGGGTTCAATATTGAGTTGGCCCCGCCCTTTGCAGCTATAAACAGCTTCAACTCTTCTGGGAAGGCCCCCCACAAGGTTTAGGAGGGTGTCTATGGGAAGGTTGGACCATTCTTCCAGAAGCACATTTGTCAGGTCAGGCACTGATGTCGGGGGAGGAGGCCTGGCTCGCAGTCTCCGCTCTAATTCATCCCAAAGGTGTTCTATGGGGTTGAGGTCAGGACTCTGTGGCAGGACAGTCAAGTTCCTCCACCCCAAACTGGCTCCTCCATGTCTTTATGGACCTTGCTTTGTGCACTGGTGGGCAGTCATGTTGGAACAGAAAGGGGCCATCCCCAAACTCTTCCCACAAAGTTGGGGGGGGCATGAAATTGTCCAAAATGTTGCCTTAAGAGTTCCCTTCACTGGAACTAGGGGGCCAAGCCCAACCCCTGAAAAAACAACCCCACACCATAATCCCCCCTCCACCAAACTTTACACTTGGCACAATGCAGTCAGACAAGTACCGTTCTCCTGGCCACCACCAAACCCAGACACGTCCATCGGATTGGCCAGACAGAGAAGCGTGATTGGTCACTCCAGAGAACACGTCTCCCCTGCTCTAGAGTCCAGTGGCGGCGTGCTTTACACCACAGCATCCGACGCTTTGCATTGCACTTGGTGATGTAAGGCTTGGATGCAGCTGCTCGGCATGGAAACCCATTCCATGAAGCTCTCTACCACACATGTTGTTGGGCTCATCTGAAGGCCACACCAAGTTTGGAGGTCTTTAGCTATTGACTCTGCAGACAGTTGGCGACTTCTGCGCACTGTGCGCTTCAGCATGCGCTGACCCCGCCCTGTCATGTGACGTGGCCTACCACTGGTGGCTGAGTTGCTGTTGTTCCCAGTTGCTTCCACTTTGTTATAATAGTCCCACTAACAGTTGAGCGTGGAATATTTAGTAGCCAGGAAATGTCACGGATGGACTTATTGCCCAGGTGGGCCACCTATCACGGGACCACGCTTGGAGTCACTGAGCTCCTGAGAGCGACCATTCTTTCACCAATGTTTGTAGAATCCATCTGCATGCCTATTTATTTATTTCAGGTACTATATGCGCCTGTCAATTTGCGCAGCGCTTTAACACCATATTGACATTCACATGATATCCCGCCCCCGAAAGGAGCGGTACAAATCTAAGGTCCCTTGACTCAAGGGGATTCATACACCTACAATAGGACACATTTAGGAGGATCCAACACCTACCAGCATGTCTTTTTGGAGTGTGCAAGGAAACCTGAATTACACAGGAAACCCACGCAGGCATAGATTGGAGAACATGCAAACTCAGGCAGGTGTATGGAGAGGGATGCCGTGGCTGGGATTCAAACCAGTGACACAGTATGCCAGGGGAAGTGCTAACCACCTGAATCACTGTGCTGCCCAGGGGCTTGATTGAATACACCATGGCCACACATGATGAGGGGGATTGGAACGCCTGAATCACATGATATGGAGGGATTGGAACACCTGAATCACATGATATGGAGGGGATTGGAACACCTGAACCACATGATTGGGAGGGGATTGGAACACCTGAATCACATGATTGGGAGGGGATTGGAACACCTGAATCACATGATATGGAGGGGATTGGAACACCTGAATCACATGATATGGGAGGGGATTGGAACACCCTGAATCACATGATTGGGAGGGGATTGGAACACCTGAATCACATGATTGGGGAGGGGATTGGGAAACACCTGAATCACATGATTGGGAGGGGATTGGAACACCTAAATCACATGATTGGGAGGGGATTGGAACACCTGAATCACATGATATGGAGGGGAATTGGAACACTTGAATCACATGATATGGAGGGGATTGGAACACCTGAATCACATGATATGGAGGGGATTGGAACACACTGAATCACATGATTGGGAGGGGATTGGAACCCCCGAATCACATGATTTGGAGAGGATTGGGAACACCTGAATCACATGATTGGGAGGGGAATGGAACACTTGAAATCACATGATATGGAGGGGATGGAACACCTGAATCACATGATATGGAGGGGATTGAACACCTGAATCACATGATTGGGAGTGGATTGGAACACCCGAATCACACATGATTTGGAGAGGATTGGAACACCTGAATCACATGATTGGGAGGGGATTGGAACACCTGAATCACATGATTGGGAGGGGATGGAACACCTGAATCACATGATTGGGAGGGGATTAAAACACCTGAATCACATGATATGGAGGGGATTGGAACACCTGATTCACATGATTGGGAGGGATTGGATTGACACCTGAATCACATGATATGGAGGGAATTTGGAACACCTGCAATCAATCATATGATATGGAGGGGATTGGAACACCTGAATCACATGATATGGAGGGGAATGGAACACCTGAATCACATGATATGGAGGGGATTGGAACACCTGAATCACATGATTGGGAGGGGATTGGAACCCCCGAATCACATGATTTGGAGAGGATTGGAACACCTGAATCACATGATTGGGAGGGGAATGGAACACTTGAAAACTCATGATATGGAGGGGAATGGAACACCTGAATCACATGATATGGAGGGGATTGGAACACCTGAATCACATGATTGGGATGGGATTGGAACCCCCGAATCACATGATTTGGAGAGGATTGGAACACCTGAATCACATGATTGGGAGGGGATTGGAACACCTGAATCACATGATATGGAGGGGATTGGAAACACCTGAATCACATGATTGGGAGGGGATTGGAACCCCGAATCACATGATTTGGAGAGGATTGGAACACTCTGAATCACATGATTGGGAGGGGAATGGAAAACACTTGAATCACATGATATTTTTGGGGAGGGGGGGAATGGAACACCTGAATCACATGATATGGAGGGGATTGGGGGGGAACACCTGAATCACATGATTGGGATGGGATTGGAACCCCCGAATCACATGATTTGGAGGTGGATTGGACACACTGAATCACATGATTGGGAGGGGATTGGAACACCTGAATCACATGATTGGGAGGGGTATTGGAACACCTGAATCACATGATTGGGAGGGGATTAAAACACCTGAATCACATGATATGGAGGGGATTGGGAACACCTGAATCACATGATTGGGAGGGGATTGGAACACCGTGAATCACATGATATGGAGGGATTGTGAACACCTGAAATCAATGATTTGGAGAGGATTGGAACACCTGAATCACATGATTTGGGGGGCGGGGGACAATACTTTTCAGCAATATAGTGTATGTGTCACGCAGGTGTGGGTCCAAAAAGGGTTAATGGGGACCTGAGAATGCCCAGAATTTTGCTAGTTCCTGAATTTTATTCGACTTGAAGTAATGAAAAGTTCGAGGCTCTCAGTAAGACATAGCTTTTAGTCGATCAGTAGGCTCCTAGGAGTCAGCAGTTATAGGGACTCAGGGGGGTGGTGGTTCCTCAATCCCCCACATCTCTGCAGGAGGAGGCTGTGTTCCAGAGGCTTGTCGAACATGGATAGTTGTGCCTAGAGAACTGAAAGCCTTTGCTGTGTTTAACGATGTAAAGGCTCTCCCAACCCCCCCACCCAATCCTTCAAGTCAACACCAGGACACTCTGCAGAACTAAAAAGCACTGGCGGATATCTCCGGATACATTCTTACTGAATCTTGGAGAGTTCGTTGCTAACCTTTCTAATCTTTTTCCTGCAACAACCAAGACTCTGTGATATTGGACCCGAAATGGCGCCCCAACTTGGAAAAAACCGGCCGCAGCCAAGTAATGATTTACTGCTTCTGTTTATCAAGAAGAAAGAAACGTGAAGAACTGGTGCAGAGCGTGGCTCATGGCCAGCAGTGGCCACAATTGGGGTTTTTTCCCCCCCAGCAAATATTAATAGGTGAGGGGGCCACATCATGTGTCTCAGGCGGCCGCAAAAACAAATTCTGTGTTCCTTCTTCTGGAGACCTATAGACGTGTTTCTGAGGCTGAGAGAGCCTCTCTCATTTTGCCATATATTTTCTGCTCTTTACCTGAAATTTGATTGAAGTAAATTCTGGTAATCATGGTGGGTAGTCAACCACTCAAGAGGGAGAAGAAGGGAATCGTAAAATAGGGAACATAGGCAGCAATTTCATGTAGGATAAAGGGGGGAGGATGGGAGTGTGACATAATAAGGGGCGAGGGGGGGGTCGTGGAAAGAAAGTAGAGGTGGGGGAGGGTAGGAGCGAGTAGGAGAAGGGGAAAAGGGAATGGGGGAGGGCAAAGGAACTGTGGGATTAGGGAGTAGGTAGCGTTCCCCCGAATAACTTCATACTTTTTGTATTGCCGGCCAAACAGCTGAATATCCCTGTCTGGTAGGGCAAGAGACCTTATTTTGTGCCCACTGTAGGTCCTGTCTTCCTCCAGCCGGTGGTTATAGCAGAGGCAGCAGACCGATGGTAGCTTCCTTCTAGCTGATTTGCTCCTGTGCTGCTCCTCCCGTCTCTCGGTCTTTTGCTCTGATGTACGAGATGTTTGCAATAGGGCCGATGCCAAAGCTCAACAACCACTCATATCAAGCAATTGGGTCATTTCCCAAGATGGCCAATCAGGTTCAGATGGACCGGAGAGGTCCCAAGCAGTGAGCTCTGATGTACGGAGATTGGCGGATACCAAGGTCAACAAACCCCCATGCAAGCAATTGGGGCATTATCCAAGATGGCAATCAGGGGTTCAAGAAAACCCGTGAGTCCCCGATCTGAGCCTGATGTACGGGGTTTCAATAGGCCGATACCAAATCAAAAACCATCAAAACAATTGGGGCATTATCCAAGTGGGAATCAGGGTTTAAAGGACTGGGAAGGTCCCGTCTAGCTCTGATTCGGAGATTGCAAATTGGCCGTGCCAAGTCAACAACCACTCATATCAACAAAATTGGGGAAATTTCCAAAAGGCAATAGGTTTAGAAGGGGCCGGGGAGGGGTCCCCAAACTAGCTCTGATGTACGGGGGGGAAAAAAGGGGGAAT